TAGTGAACGTCGATGGGTTCTCACTCAAGACTGAGCATGCTGTGCAAGCATCGATCACGAATGACATTTCGCGCTACGTAATATAAGAAGTTGGGCATGGTTGGTAGTTATTACGGAAATGAGACTTATCAACGACTAACTTAAAAGTAGCGCCAGGGCCGAGCATATGAATACGAGTAAACTTCTTAAACGCACGGAAAAAATATGCAAAAACACCACGAGCAACCGCCAAAGACACGAGCATAACGATATTTGGATCAGCAAATTCCCCTAGCACTACAACTGTCATCTTTTGGTGGGCTGAAGTACTACATCTATGTGCTAGAGTGGTAATCCAGCACGGCTAGTTTGGCAGCACCTCAGCGTCATACAAACGTTCCATGACACAATCAAACGATGACTTAGTGAGAATCGTATTTACTTAATTAAGAAATGTTGTCATCTAGATCAGTCCTTTCCCCTTAAAAATGCACCGGCATTTACAAGTTAGCTGATTTCATGAAATCTGATGCTTGCTTTAACGTCTTCAAATGCGGAACTTTCCCTTGAAGCCAGCATTATGGAGGCTCAGGCACTCCGAAAGCATGCAGAGTGACACCCCCGGATGGACGTCTTCGTTTGTGTTGATCTTTTGTTATCTTTACCTCGTTTTGATCCACCCTATTTAACATTACGAAAACCCCTTACCTGTTTTCGAGCAAAGGACCGAATGGGTAGAATGCTAGGGGCACATTGTTTCTCGGTCAGGGGCTGAAGGGTGCTTCCGTCCCAGCCCGCGGTGCCTACCGGCTGCCTTTATGGCGAAACAGGGGCTGCATGTATGGGGGGGGGGGCTGTATGGGGCCTTCTGGTGAAGCTGCATGTACATTGGTCGCCTGCCTGGCCCCCTGACCCGCAAATTTGGGCGTGGATCGACGCGGGGGGGGGGAAGGGCTCTCATTGACGCAAAACATATCCACTGTTGACGCAGGTGTACAAAATTTGGCACAGAGGCTCTAGTTCAGCATAATGGGTCCCTGGCTGAAATGGAGTACAGAGTTGTAATGGAACCCCTGACTGACTGAAACACAGACCTGACCTTCTGGTGTCTCATTGTGGACCATCATCATGAATGATATCCACTCTTATTGTCAGAGATCCCCGGCTAACACAAGAGGCCCAGCAGCATTCTGGGTCCAGTCTCTGTCCCTGTTTAGCAAATGTGACCCTGGCCGACTCGGAGCCCCTTACCCACATAGAGTCCTCTGCTAGACACTTTGGGCCCCTGGCCGACGCAGGAGCCTCATTGTTTCAGGGGTCCGGACCAATGCAGATTGCGGGTCACAGCCTTGTCTTTGCCTGGAAAAGGGGCTCCCAGGACTCAGACCGCCACGGGGCCAACTGTTCTTTGTTGGTGGTCTCTGACCAAATAGAGGCCCTCATCTTCCTGGAGTGTCCCCAGACGGTGCAGGAGACTCTCTGACTGACATTTTTTTCTGGGCACGGTCCTGCAGACCGGTGTCCTTAATGTGACCTAAAACGAGCCCTTCGTGCCCTCCAATCAGGCACTTGATCGAAGGCCCTTCTGCGGGCGCACTCGAACACTACCCCAAGGCGACTCCGGGCTCCTTTGCCTACATTTCTCGTGCTACGCATTGTGGTCACCAGATTGGTACAGGGGCCCTTCATCGACTCAAAGGCCCCGACCGATACGAATCGTGGGCCCGACCTTATCCCTGCTTGGGAAATAGGCCCTGAATCCTAGGCGTGACGTGCCCGTCACGTGTCACGGCCGTTAAGCCACGACCGCAGGGCGCAGTTTCGCAAAATAGACTGGAGGATGGGCTGAGCACGGAAGCCCTAGCTTGAACTGCACGAAAAATATGATTCTTCCCGATTTAACTCACCTACCTCTCAACGTAATTGAATTTGATTCACACCCAATTGAGAAGGAAATTACGGCGCTTCTCTAACACGTTTCCCTCGTTCTGCCTCGGCGGAAGATGGTGTCGTTCGGCATCATCATTATTCCGTTTGGCGTCGATCGTCGAAACCATGTTTTGGTAGTGGACGCAGGGTCGATGTTATCTGGCTTCAGACGTTTTTGGACGTGTAAGGCTTTGGGACTGAAAAGCGTAAGTTGATGTGAGCGACTATGAAAAGCTGCCACGGAAACTTTCGGCTGGTGGCCGTAGTGCGGGCTGCAGACTGCAACGCAGCACTCGAGTCAGGCATATTCGACGCGGCTGATGCTATCTTGATGCCATCGTCGGACAGCTACCGCTATCGATTTAGCCGGCTGGCGTCGATCGGTAAGTTTCCACAGCTGTTTCATCGAATACTCACGTCGAGTTGGAGGTTGGCACATTTCATAACTTCTTTTGAGCTTTGCCGGCTAAAAATTTGCTCACGTTTCTGGGTGCCAACATTTGACTTTTTTCGATTTCCGGAAAGACATCATATCGTATCGTGGCAGAATAACGCAACTTGCTAACATCATTGAATGATAGGAAAACACTCAGGCAATATCACAAAACGGTGTTAGGGTCAACAAGACATATTAACTGTGCAATTAACAACATGCATCATGCAAGAAAAAAAGAAAATACAAAACGCTCAAGTAAATGCGGTACGAACACGGAGCTCTTACAGCATGACTAGCCAGTCAACTGCATTTAAATCAACATGACATCGCAGTTTTTTGTGTTCTTTTGTCTGCGAAACAATTAGTGCAAGCCTCCTTTAAAACTGATATAATTTTTATTTCGCATTCGCGCTGCGTTCCTTAAACTTTGACTCTAGAAAGTTTGACGGGGGGGGGGGAGGGGGGCAAACTCCAAACTGTACAGCATAAGTGTATGGGTCAAGAGGTAGGTGGATCAAAATCGCTCTAAGGCGATCGCCAGCCTACACTAACCACGCGGCGGTACTAAAGCTCTCACGAATTTCGACCGTATTGAGTACTATTGTGTAAGTAAAGTATGTAAAGAGTAAATTGTAAACTGAATGGGGTCTCGCACGACACATGGCACAAAAATAAAAAAAATAATGAAAGAAATTAATTTGTATAGAACCGCAATTTCGGTTTTATGAACTGATACAATTCCATTGCCCACTTCGAGGGCACCTCCTCGCTGCCAGTCTTCGGATCCATCGTCTGGCTTCCGTGTCCAAGAAACCGCTTTGAGTCTCTGCATGCTTACGCGCTATGGCAGGACTCCTGATAGCAAGCGCGTGGTCATGACTGTCTCGCAAGGGTGCTGAAAGTGGAACCTCTGCCTTTTACAGTGCAGTGTATACGGTCGGCGCTGCTCATGGGTGAGCTTATCTGTAACTTGCCGCACGAGGACAACCAGGCACGGCGTGCGTCGGCTTCGTCAGGTATTGAGTTATTTTTCCTCCTGTACGGATCGTGCTTGCGCCAACGTTCCAGTTACCCAGTAAAGGGTGTGTTTTCGCTGGACGTGGCTATCACCAATTACCCAAACCAGGTACAGCACACAGATGTCGTCCCCAGCCACTGCAGTGACCATCATCTGGTCACTTCTATCTTGAACGTAACGCGCAATAGAACAGCAGCAAAAGCGAAAGCAAGGAATGAACAGCATGTACAACAGTCGCCGAAGAAGCAGTTGTGCTTTGACAAGACCTGGCCGTGGCCAATCGAAGCGCCGTCCTTATGCTTTGTGACCTGTTGATGGGTGACACGTGGCTTGAGTTCCTGACCGTCGCGAAGCCGCTGCTTGACAAAGTTGCCCCATAGCGGAAGACCAGATTCACAACCTGACAGTTCGCTCTGTGTCGGAAGCGATTTACGATCTCACGGCGAAACAATGTGCCCTTCGTCACACCGACGTGATGAACAGGCGGCTGGATCGTCGTGAGCGTACAGCCAGCCGATCCGACTGTCGCGGAGGCGTCTCCTGACGCATGGAGACGACGAGGTCCGGAGGCGAGCACCGCATTATTCGTGGCATCGTCGGTAGCGAGAGATCTTTACTATCAACGCTTCTAGATGAGCTGGTAGGCTACGCTAACGAATTCATCGCTTACAGCGGGAAGAAGGCCTTCAACAAGCTAGCGGCAGCGGACAAAGCGCACAAATAGTTTGCCATGCATGATTTCCCATTGACTTTTACATAGAACCCAGTGACTTGAAATATTCTGACCTCTTTAATCTTCTTCAGAAGGGTAAGAATGCAGAATAACTCAAAGATGATGGGGGAACATTTCCCGGCTTTTCACCGGGCATCAACAATTTTGAACTCTAGACATCACCACATGCCAGATCAATACTCGTTGTGTACAGATAAAACGCCCGATACAACCATCAGGTTACCGCTGAGCACGGTAACCTGATGTGCTGAAACCAGTATCAACCTGCTATATCTAATGATACATTAATGTTCCACATCGTAACTTGATTATGGTACATTATTGATGCATTTCCTTTTCGTAACTTAAAATGGCTTGCGTGAGGTCATCACGTCACCTGGGATGACCTCCACCATGACTTAGATACTTTACTTTTTCGCCCTAAAACTTTAATTCAAGGTGTGTGCGCATTCAATTAAAGCAGGCTGATGTCGGCTGCAGCATAATAGGCTACCCAGCTTAGCAATCATGTTTTTTATTTGTACACAATGCAAATGCAATCTGGCAGGCGGTGACATCTAGGTCTAGACATCGAAATTTTTGGTTCCCCGTGAAAAGCCGAGAAATGCCCCCTTATCCATGTAAGTTCCATGTGAAGCGTTTACAAAGAACATCAACGAGATCGAAATTTTTCAGACCGTTGGGACTGACCTTGAAATAAATGGAAATGAGCCATTGCCAAAAGAGCTGATTATTTCGTAACATAGCCTTTGAAAAATCATTAATTTCAACCTGGCGTTTTAATTTCATTCTCAGGAATTGACTCGGTTCACTTGAAGTTACGTTTCATGGCAGTGATTTTCACACGATGCGCCACCATTCTTGCAACAACTCCGCCAGAAGTGCCTAGGGAGCCGTTCCCCATACAGCCTTGCCCCATACCAAGTGGGCGCGTTTCATTTTGTTGGGGTCTGTGTGTTTGGTATATGGCGAATGCTATTCAGTAGGCGTCCGAGGACGTATATTGAGATCGGCTCACTGCTTAATGTTTTAAGATAGGCATCGACGTATTTGTCTTTTGGGACTGAAATAGGATCCAAAGATTTTACTGTGAAAATCGTTATTAAGCACGCCCGGCTCATCTGACCTCTTGTGGTTACTTGTGGTATTGTTTTGCAAAAGTTCCCTGAATTTTACACAGTTCACACAGATTGCACTGAGCTGGTCCCATTCAGGGGTGAACATAGCCTGAAGAAAACTATGGCTGACTTTGAATGGCCATGGCAGTACAAGTTCCCACCATTCTTCACGTAAGTCGTATAGTGGTCATCACACGAAGTGAAACTTGATCGTAAAATGTGTCTTGAAGTCTGATGGACCTGAATGTCTGCTTTAATGCACCTGGTGGAATGTATCTGACTGTTGTGTCATTGCATCCACTAGTTGAATCCTCTAAAAGTTACCTAATGTGATATTCCACTACAGTCTCATGTTGCCTATCATTTATCACTGGATCTCAGTACATGATTTTACGCTGTGTGCTTGATAGTGCTGTTGACACTGGATTCATCCAGCTGCAATGGACTTGGTGTGTCACAATGAGGACTTCATTTTGCTATGGGCATGCCATTTGAACATGTAAGGCAACACCACAAAAACACAAAACTTGCAAGAAAGAATTACATGAAAATGAACCATAAAATGTGTGTTTTTTAGCATTGGACAATACCAACATTTTCTGGAAGGAGCCTCTTAGAAATTGTCACCCACTTATCAAATGATTATTGGCCATTGCCTAACTGGCTGGCTAACTGAGGGACTGAAGTAGGCAACTGTCATAAGGTGAGCACAGAAATACAAGTGCATAGTTCTTGATGGATGCCAACCATCCATGTTGGGTATACAGGAGCACTGCAAAGCATATGCACTACTGCAAAGAACTGGTGCAGCAGCATTTTCTGTTGTCCTTCAGGTTGTAAGGCATGCATTCACAAATAGTTCATATGTTCTAGGTATAAATGGCTGGTTGTTAAAGGTCCCAGGTTAAAGTTTGTTAAAGGTTAGGTCCCAAGTCTTCCAGTGGATGAGCAGAGTCCCAAGGTGATTCCAGGAAAACAAGCAAACATTGATCAAGCTTTGCTCCATTTTCATACATGGGCATGTAGATCACAATAATGGTTTCTATTTCTGCAACTGATACAAGATGTGAGATGACATTCTAGTGCAGATGTGTTTTCTATCATGTTGAATCTTATGGATGATGTTGACCACATCATTCTTGTGCAGTCTCAGGTTCCAGTTTCTTTTTTCATCAAATGCAGCTTGAAGCCATTGTGAAAAACAGTAATTCATCAATACCACTTCTAGCATTCTCTCTTGTTACAGTTTTCAGCAAACCCTGTGAAGGCAGTTTGCCCTTTAACTCAATATATGTGCTATGTAATGGATGTACCACATTCCCTTTGGTCCTGCTTTCCATGCCTTTTGCTTTTCCTCCTTCCCACCTCCCCTCTGCCATTGATATCCACGTCATTGGTTTCAGTCCCACTCACGTGCTGCTGGCACAGTGGTGGTTCCGCCTCCCCTCTACCATTAATATTCACATGTTTGTGGTTTCAGTCCCATTCACACACTGCTGGCGCAGTGGTGGGTCCACTTGACATTGCCCTAAGGCATTTTTGCTGACAAAAAGTCATGTAAGATAGATCAACAGAACCTGGAGTATCTGTGAACTTGTCATTTCTAACACATGCATCAAATTTTAACCCATTGTCATCTTAAGTCAGTGATCTTTGATAGTCAAATCATGCCATGTTTGAAAAGTGAGGTGTTGGCGGTCCTTGCAAATACAACAAGTTATTGTGATCGAATGGTGGTATTGCATTTTTAGTGTTTTGTTATGCTGCTAAATTTGTATTTCTCTTCTGTTTGGAGGTCCTTGGCCTTCAGCTGTCTACTTCCCTGGTATTTATGGATAAAATTGGGTGAATCAGACTTTTTCTTTGAACTGCTTCAGTAGCAGGCCATGAATCCTAAGAAGGCAAATGGATTAGCTTTTGAACCTTTTAACATGTGCCTGGGTGGCCAGTTGAATATCCTTTGCTGAGGTGGGGGGGGGGGGGGGAATTTGATGCTGACCTGATATCTCAAAAATAAGGGAGCTGGATACACCAAATTAGTATGGTGTGTTGGCCAGTAAATAAACTCATTTGGGTCAAAATTTATAGTTCCTAGTTCATGACCTTCAGGTCAAATAAGGTCAAATGAGGTCAAACCTTGGGTTTATGTCCAAAGCTACCCAGAACTTTGGCACATGTCCCAAGCAAAATATTACTGGTGCTCATTTAAGGCCAGCAACCTTGCCTGACCTTTCAAAGTTCATGGTGACCAAAATCATGCAAGACTGCTTTGAGTTCTGTGTTTGAATAAATGCCAAGGATTATGCTAGGCAGTATATTTTTGAAAAGAGAATGTTGACCTGGGCCATTTCAGGTCATTGATGTATTCTGACCATTAAGAACCCTATGGAAAATGTATTATGTGACTTCTGTAATCAATGAATTGGAAACAAACATCAGAAACTAACTCATGCAGCAAGCTCCGCAATAATAAAACAGGTTAGTTTTGACCTTGGTGTGACCTTCATACGTGACCCTAGATCAATAGGACTTGTTTGTTTAATTGTTGCATCAGATTTAACAATTCCCCAGAAATTGTCCTCACTAAACCCATAACCCTAACTTTGATGCGCTGTAGATCAGCAACCTGACAAGGTACATCTAATTTGCATACCAAATGATCCGGTTTTCAATATCTTTAGCTATGCCAAATTTGGCACGGCTGCACAGGGCCGATCGGAAACCATTCCAGAAAGACCTATGGAAAGATCAAATTGACCCCCCACCCAAGTGCGTGTTAAGGAAGCTTCCCCTTCCCTTCCCCTGATCGGTCGCGCGAAGAAGGCTCCGGGAGCTGTTCGGGAATGACGTGCTACGCTTCCGATGTGCAGCAAAAGGGGTTTATTGTAGTGGCAGGTATTTATTCACTATAGTGGCACATGCAATATGACACACCTAATATCTGTCAGCATTTAAAACTGCACTTAGAATACACTCAGAGTTGCAATGTCTTTTTCAGTGGTCTGTGCTCGCATCAGAAATGGGATCAGATTTTCGGAAAGCGTTCTCATTGAGCACGAAGATAGAGACCGCATCAGCCAAAACTTGTGTTGCTGAATAGGTCTCCTGGGTCTAGCTGGCATAAACTCGTTGTGACATTTTTGTAGAATTTCGATCCAGGTTTCATTTGCATTTAGAGTATTGGTCAGTTCACACTGCATATGCGGGGAACTGTCACTAAAAGAGTAGTTCCATTGCTTGCTACGTTACCACAGAAAGATGATAGCGCTGTTCGTTATGCCGTCAGTACAAAAAGGTAGTACCGTTTCTCGTTATTTCAATACCATACAAAAACCGTAACAGAGGTTACCTTAGTTTTTTCTCTGTTACTTGTCCCAGAAGTTTAAAAAAGCCAGACAGTCCTTATCACACGATCGCTAAGGCAGTTGATTCCCTTATAGCTTGGGTCCGACACTGGTAAAAACACAATCCTCCCGCATGTGTATAGAGACGCTTTATCTCGCACAGTGCTCTCTGTAACTGCGCTGTTAACTGCGCTCTTGAAGCACCTGATGTTGTTGCCCCGCCGCGAAAGGACCAGGTAAACGGGAAACATGACTTGGCTCTCAGGATGCTGGTTGCTCGCTTAAGTGCTCGCAATCATTGGATGGGAGATTATTTGCAAACGTTCAAAGCTCGCAGTCATTGGTCTGTGAAATTCGTCCTCCGTAACCAAATCCACATAGATTTTCGCGTCGCAGCCGACTGCAGTGATGGCGGGGTGGCTGCGGCGGCGGTAGGAGAGGGCGCGCGGCTCTGACAGTCATGCAGCGCGCGTATGCAGAACAGTGCCATCGACCACCGCCTGATTGGTCTGGCCACTTCTGCGCGCGGACACCCAAGCGGCATTTTGCCGATGTTGGTGATAAATGCGGCGGGACCGACGCACACCAGCCGCCGCCGGAGCTCCGTATGAGCCGAGCTCTCACCAGGCAGGGGGCCTGTGAGCCTACACAAGGCCCTGTGAATCTAGATAGGGTCCTGTGAGCCAGCCTCAGTTAACGGGGCCCTGTGGGCCGGCTCCTCGCCAGACGGCCCTTTGAGTCAGTCCTATCGTGAGACAGGGCCCTGTGAGCCAGCCTCATCGACAGACAGGGCCCTTTGACATCCTATACTTTTCAATACTGCTTTCTTAATAATGCTGTACACGAGCAGTTTTTAATTTAATTTTGTGGGATAGGGCCCGGTGGGCCGGCCCCTTGCCATGCAGGGCCCTGTGAGCTAGCCCCATTGCCCGACGTGGTCCTGTGAGCCGGCCCCATCGCCAGACAGGGCCCTGTGCGTCAGCCCAATCAGCAGACAGGGCCCTGTGCGTCAGCCCAATCAGCAGACAGGGCCCTGTGGCCCGGCTCCTCACCAGACAGGGCCCTGTGAGCCAGGTCCAGTGACAGACGAGGCCCTGTGAGCCAGCCCCATTGCCAAACAGGGCCGTGTGAGCCGGTCCCATTGCCAGGCAGGGCCCTGTCAGCCAGCCCCATTGCCAGACGGGGCCCTGTGAGCCAGCCCCATTGCCAGACGAGGTCCTGTGAGCCAGCCCCATTGCCAGACAAGGGCCCTGTGAGCCAGCCCCATTGCCAGACCGGGCGGTGTGAGCCAGCCTCATTGCCAGACGGGGCCCTGTGAGCCAGCCCATTGCCAGGCAGGGCCGTGTGAGCCTGTGAGCTCCGCTGTTGAGACTGACGGTAAGGGGTGGCAGCCGGCGGCGCCGGTGCGATTTACGCCGCCGCCTCTGACGCCGCCGCGCCCCGCGCGCAGGCCTCTCGACAGGTTTACGACCCCGTAAGGCGGCACAATATCGACACTGCACGGCGGGGGCCGGCCGGGATGACCCCCGCCGCCGTGACCGTCACGTGCGATGGCGCCCGGGCGCTCCGAATGAGCGCGCTCCACTGCGGGCGCCGTCGGTGTGGGCGGCCGGTGACGCGGCGCGGCTGGCTCTGACAGGCTGCAGCCGAACACGGAGACGCGTCAGAAGCAGCTGGAGGCGTGGCGCGCGCTGATTCTGGGCTTCTGCCGCCACCACCGCGTCTACATCATCGACCTCGCCGAGTACCTCGACTCGCCGCTCTTCAACAACGCAGACATCAAACGTACGGGCTTGGCGCGTGCTCAGCAGTGTTGGGGGGGGGGGGGGGGATTAACGGTCGAACATAAGCTGGCTTGCACGAGCGCGAGGCACATGGCTACGCTGCGGACGCGTGCCCGATCTGATGAACCTCTATCTGTCGGTGTCTGTAATGATGTGTGTGTGTTTGTGTGTGTGTCTGTGCGTCTATGTTTGTGTGCCTGTGCCTGTGCCTGTGCCTGTGTCTGTATGTGTCTGTGTTTGTGTCTGTTTGTACGCCTGCGTATCTGTATATGCGTCCGTGAGTCCGGGGCCGAATGTGGTGGCCACGAACGGTCTCCTCTCAGCCCGTGCGTCGGTTCAGGCCAGGGATGACCTGACAGAGTCGCCCTGGCGTGTGCCGACCGCAGCTGGTTGGAGGCGACGGCGGCAGCTGATGGAACGCATCGCCGCGCAGGCACCGCTCGCGAAGTGTCACTTAGCGTGAGGCGTTTAAAGGACTTAAAAAGTCACCATTCCCGTTTTAAAATATAACTCCGCCTGCAATTTCCATTTCAACTCTGAGCAGCCCCTCGGGACGCTGCTCACCACATGCAGGACGTTTCGGGCCGAGTTCACCGTACCTGCATTAAAGTTTGTAATTGAGGCGGCTACGGAGCGCTCGCGGCGCGGCGACCGCTGGCCGGAGCGGGGCGTGACGTGCGCCCGAGCATCCGGCGCGGCTCGGGCCGGCAGGCGCCGGTCGCCTGTCGGATGCCGCTGCTCCGGCGCGCGGGACGCTGCTGGTGGTGTCGCTGGAGTGCGCCCGGACCGTTGCGAACATTCTTTTGACGCGGCTGTCCCGACTGCGACGAGTTATTGGAATCCGTGCTTGGATGTTTGTTGAGCTGATACATTATCCGACTAGGAATTTATATATATATATATATATATATAGGAATATTGCTAAATTATATATATATATATATGTATGTATATATGTATATATATATATATATATATATGTATATATGTATATATATATATATATATATATATATATATATATATATATATATATATATATATATATATATATATATATATATGCGTATGTTTATGGAAAAAGGTGTTTTTCTAGAACTTATACTATATATATATATATATATATATATATATATATATATTCATGTTATATTATCTATACTTCTGGCCCGGTCGGTGTACCTTCAAAAACTACCACTTTGACGAGACCTGATCAGCTTTGTGAGGCTGTGTTAACGCTGGCACGGGCTTGCAACAGACTTAGTGGGTGTCAAGCCGTAAGCGTAGTGTGAAAGATGGCAGCCGTCTTTCAGAAAATAACAGTCGTTCAGAAAAGTCAAATAGCCGTTGAGTGAAAAATTCGTACAGAACTAACGTCACTGAACGCCGGTGTGCACCTGTGGGGAGCCACGTAGCATTATAATGCGGTCGTCTTCCCTGCGACCAACGTGGAAAAACTGGAACGGGCACGGCCTCTGTTCGGTGTATGCTGGCTGGTTAATTGGTACCAATGGGAGTATGTTGGCTCCGTCGTACCACCTGTCTTGTCTTTTGTTCGGCCCTTCAAGTATTGCACCTGCTCAGAATGTAAGATCCTTAGACCGTTTTATCGTCCGATGCAGAGTACTGCACCAGACTTCGTGTTTCTACACGTATCGGGACGTGACATTTGAGCCACAAACTCCGGCCGCCACGTTTTCGGCTCCGGTGCTAAATCCGCTCAGCATCCTACAGCTGTTGATGATGCAAATTGCACTTTTCCAAGCTATGGATCTACATAGACAGTAAAGTATGGGGCCCCTCTGATTGCTGTTGCTATATGCCACAGTATTAGGTTTCGTTATCGGACCCAGCTGGGGGCGTGGCAGCCTCTCTGCAGACCGCTGGGTCTGGCATATAAGCGGCCAACAAGGCAGACGCATGTCTCCTGGAACCGCCGCGTGTTTCACTGCTGGTCGATTTCGCCGGCTGTGCAGGCGAACGTGAATGGTGGGAGCGATTTACGCCTCGAAAAGTGGCCAGGATTTCGAAAACACAGGGGATGTCGAAATATATCGTCAGGATATCGAAAACACCTGCATCGATTTGGTCTGACGCCACGTTTTCGGGCATCCGGACATGTCCATTGATGCCACATCCCTTCGTGGAATGTTCGCAGCTGCGCGATACAGTCACTGGACGTTCTCGTGAAGTGCCCCAGCCAGAACCAGACGGGGAGCCTAGCTGGCTCGGCCTCGAAATGGCTGAAGCAGCTGTGTTTTTTTCCGCTCGCTGAACGCCGCAGGCCACAGCTACGCATTGGTTCGAACATAGCGTGTGGATCATTCACTTGTCGACTGCAGAGAACCACGCGACCAAATTGAGTGGGAAAAACCAATGTCTGCTGGCTGCCGCTGCTGACGTGTTCCGTCTGGAAATCGTGATTCACCGTCCTCCGATTCTTCGCCGTCTAATCGCCGCACCGAACAGTGAACGCGGAGGCGTGCCAGAACTTCCTCCAGCGGCCCACCGCTTCCACTCAGCCTGGGCTGCGACGCGCGCGCCCAGCGAGCTCCCATCAGAGGGGCTGAAGCCCTCTCCGACCTGACGAGATGCTCTGCCGCCAGCCCAGCGATGCCGCGGGCGGGCTCTGGGGCGGATGGCTCGTGTTCTCGGCCGCGTTTGAAGCGGGCAGCCGCGGGTGCCGTACTCCGCTCCGCACGGCGGTCTCAGCGGTCTCGGCAGTCTTAGTAGCCCGAGCGGTGTCAGTGGTCTCAGCGGTTTCAGTGGGCTCAATACGCCCGATGGTCTCAGCGCTTTTATTTTTCACCACTCTTTCTGGTTTCAAGCGGTTTCATTAGTCTCAACGGTCTCGGTGGTCTCAGTAATTTTAGTGGTCTCTGCGCACGGCGGTCTCAGCCGGCTGACCGTCCCCGACTGGGGGCGGCCAGTGACCTGCCGGGTCCGGCTCCCGCGCGACTTCAGCGACCGGGCGCGGCGGGCGGGGCGCTGCCGAGTGAAGCCCGCCTGCGTGTACAGCCGAGCGCCCTGGTCGTCCGCCGGCTAGGGGCCTTGCGCGGTGTGTGGCGGGGTTTTTCCGTCCTGTGATGCTGGGTCGATGTGAGGGCGGAGTCGGAGCCGGTTCGCTGCTGCAGCCGTGACACTGAGGCACGTGCCGTCGTCTGACCTCGCGGCGAGCGCACAGCGAGCCCCCGCCGCGCTGCCCGCCCGTCGAGAACCGCCGCTGCTCGGCCGCACTCAGCACTGATGAACCCCAAATTGCCTGAAACGGCGAAAGCGTTCCGCAGCTGCCCGCCCCGCCATCTGCAAGACGAGTCGTTCCGTCGTGCTGTTCGCAATCTGCCGAGATGCTCTGTCAGCACAGACGCCGCGCATCATCGCATTAGCTCGACCGTGTCCTGCTGATGGTATTGCACCAGAGGTCAGCTTTGTTTCGCCGGCTGGGACAGTCCCGCCGAGATCAGAGTCAGCTGTGCGCCGCTCGCCCCGATCATCCCCGGCGGCTCATCCTTGCTCCGGCCGCCGACCGCGGCCCCGCTCCGAAGCCAGGCGGCAGCCGTGATTAGGTACGATCAGCCGACGCGAACAGCGCCGTCGCTCAGGCGGATCTCGTGCAAAACACGGCCGCCGGGGAAGTCCGAGCGCCACGCGCGCTCATTCGGCGCCGCGCCAGCTCGGCCCGGCGACGCTGACGGCCGGACCGGACCGGACCGCGTCGCCGTCCGGCAGCCGCCTTCCGGGCCCCGCCGCGGCCGCGCTGGCGGCGGCGCCGCGTCCGGCGCATTGTGACGCCGTGGCGGCGGTCCAGCGGCGTCCGGCTCGGCCCTGTCCTGCGTTCTCCTCGCGTCGGGCCAGGCGACTGGTCCGCCGCTCTGTGGCCGCGCGGCTTCCTTCCGCCTCCCGTGTGGCCGTTGGCGCTCAGCCAGCCGCGCTGTCGCGGCCGGCTGCGTGCCGGCGGTCGCGCACGTGCTGCCGATGTGCAGACGCGGTACGGTCGTGTTATTCGGTGGCCACCAGCTGTGGCTTGGAGCCGTGCAGAATGCGGCGAACCGGCCGCCGGGAGGGAGCAAAATAGCTCGGTTCGATTCTGTTAATTACCCCGTCCCTTCCCCCTCCTTGTCCCGTTTCGCCACGCCCCCATTCGGGGTATGTCTTTCGTTGCTGGTCCCGTGCTTTGGCTATAACGGACGCTGTAAGACCGAGCTGTGGCTCTCATTTGGACCCCCGATCACTACTGTCTGAATTTCTGTACCTTCTTGGGCATCTCTTCACGGGAATTTATTTTTCGCTCGGCCTGCCTCCTGAAGCCATCACTCTTTCTGTCCTTTGATGTCTTATTCCACGCTGTCGTCCCTCTACACCTTTCAGTACGCTGTCTTTTAACCTGCATAGCTGTTTTGTCTCGTCTTGACTGCCTCGAAAGTCGGGATCTGGGCTGGAGAAAGCACCGTCCCATCGTGTGTTGATACGCGGAATGCCCCAGCTGTCGGTTTCACTGTCTCTATGTTCTGTGGTCTGTTTGTTCCCTTCTAATTATCGACTGTTCGCGTCCGTGCTCGTATGTGCTGTCGGTTATATTTTGTTTTCTTGTCATCACGTGTTCTTGGTCTCTTGTTTTTTTCCCTGTACCTGCCCTTGCGTGGCTTCGGCGCCTGTCGGCAGCGATGAAACGCGGCGATGGCGGCTGTCCTCAACCCTCTGTGGCTACCTCTACCTCTACCTTCCACGTTTTTACCACGGAATGCATCGATGGGGACGTCGTTTGACCCCACGTGCAGGGTAACACGTGTCCTGTCCCGCGCCACAGGCCGTCTTTCGGAGGAGTCGATACAGGCGGTGCTGGATGAACTGGCGTCCACAGGCCATGTGGAGTGGATTGACAAATCCAAACGACGGTGAGAAGCTGGGGATCGCTGTTAACGTGCTCATCCGGGCGATGTGGGTTTCGTGCGCGTATGGAAATCCTGCCCTCGTGGTGAAGCACATTACGCTTTGTGGTCGTTGCTGTCTTTGTCGATCACTCATTGTGAGGTTTGTTTGGTAATGCATTTTCAGAATGTGGTGTAATGTGGTTGGTGTACTACTGTACTACATACCATGCTGTAAATAAGAGTATTTACAGTGTGTTATAGGTGTATGTAGGTATAAGTTATCAGAGAATAGTGTAAACAAAGATGGTTCGAAGATATATGGGGTGCATGTACAAGGATGAGAGATAGTAAGTAAAAACGTTATTTTGGAGTTTGATCATACCGCATTGAAGCGGCATTTCACAGTCACGTTACCATCGCCCTTTGAACCTTCGACTTTTTTCTTGCACCGTCCTAAACCGGTTATGATATTTAATTTCATCTTGGTTATATGCATTCATTGTTGTCACTGGTGGCGGCAAACGCATGAGTTGTATGGAGTGCTTCCCATGAGCATTGGAGTGTTTCCCATGAGCAACGGAGTGCTTCCCGTGAGCAAACACATGAGTTATATGGAGTGCATCCGTACAGTAACCAAAACGGTTACGGATACCTGTCGATCCCATGTGGAACTGACACCGTGGTGTTTGATGTTATGCGTCTGCACGCTGGTGAGGCGCGATGCCCATCCCATCCATGTGCACTCAAAGCTGAATTGATTTCATGGATGTGGTCGCATTTTCTAGCTCGACAGTGCAATCGGCGTTGGCTGGTGGCGATGTTATTGTTTCAGCTGGCGAGTCTGTTTTCGTGGTGCGCATTCCTTTACTCGAAAATTGGCGAGCAAAACAAATGCTGTTTACCGTTCGTTTGGAGCAGGAAGGACTCTCAGTGACTTTTGTGCCAAGGAAGGCCTCAAATTGCTGTATGTTTTTTGGACCCGTACTTTGTCAGCTGTCCGCGCACCGGCTCTCGTATCTATGGTATGCGAGGAAATACCGCCGCCGCTCTAATGGCCACTGCCACCTGCCGTCCGTTTTAGGTGTTACGTCTTCTGGCGCACGCCGACAGAGTGGGGTCAGCTGATCTACGCCTGGGTGACCGATAGCGGCATGACCGGGTCCGTGTGCACATTCTTCGAGCTGACCCAGGGCGACGACGTGGCCGACCAGCGTGAGTCCTCTGTCAGGGGGGAAGGGGCAGGGACCGTGCAGCACGCGGAGCTCTGCGTGGTGACCCGACCACCGGGACTGGCGACGCGGGTGAAGTCTGTCTGTCTGTCTGAAGTCTGTTGGCGGCACTCGTTCATCGGCCTGTCGCGGTGCGCGCAGCACGCGAACATAACCCGGGCCCTGCGCACAGCGTTCCAGGGTCTGGCCGAGGAGGTGCTGCTGAAGGCGCTGGGGACGCTGCAGCAGGCCGGCAAGGCGGAGGTGATGGGCACGGACGGCGTCAAGTTCTTCTAGCGCGCTGGATGCCTCATGCCTTCGGCGCCGGGTGCCCTCCTGTGGAACCTCCGCCTCCTCTGCCTCCGCCGGTGCCCGGTATCCGGCCGGAGAACTGTTCTGTGTCGGCCTGCGCCGACAGCGTGAAGACTGCAGCGCGGCGGCGGCGCCGCTAGGGGGCTGCGGTGCTGACGCTGGTGACGCTCGCTCGGCGTACACCGATCCCGCCGGCCCGCTGCGCCGCCGCTCGTCACGTGGGGATGTGCGGCCCGGCTGCGGCCCCAGCCCAGTTCCAGCCCTAGCCCCAGCCCGGCCCCGGACCCGGCCCGGCTCTGGCGCCATTGGGGCTTGGGATGGACTCGGCGATGCACAGAGTCCACCGCCCGGACTCGGGGAGGGGGGCTCGGGGCCGGTCGGCGGCCCTTTGCGTCCACTGTATGCTGGTCGGGAGATGTGCGCTCCAATCGCCACGGGTCGAGCGAGGGCGTCGTACCGGCTGGGACCGCGTCGGACGGGGCTGGCGGCCGTTGCAATCGCGTGCGCAGTGCTGAGACGATATTACACCGAGGATGTAATACGCCGTGGCTGCCCCTATTGCTGGTGGACGCGTCTTTTTGTCGCCTTTTCGTATGTGCGGCTGGCTTTGTTGTTCCAGCTGTCGGCTTGTGGTATTTCTCATCCTGTGATCGAGCCCGGATCCGATCTTTCCGGAGAGGTGCTGGAGCCGACCGGCTCGCGCCCGGTTGCGATGTGTGTGATGGCGCCTGTACGCTCCCAGCGTCATTAGAGCGGTGGTGACGCCCGCGTGTTGTCATGGAGCTGCGGTCGGTGTCCGTCTGGCAGTGCAATTGAAGAGACGGTCTGAGCGAGGCGCCTGCGCTGGAGGAAACATTGCGACACACTAGCATGAAGCTGGGTGATGAGCTGATGGCCAGCAGCCCAATAAACGAATGAGGGACATCATATGGTCGAATTGTGGCTGTTGCTGGGACTGCCCTATGCTAAGGCACATGCCCACATGTCGGTTCGTGCCTCAAGCAGTGGCGTATGCCGTAGGCACGACCCGTGTTGGAAGCGGGCGGTTCAAGTGACTGGATCGGTGGGTGTGGCGATAGATGCCTGCTGTGGGGTGGTGCGATTAAAAAAAAAACAAGCGACAATTCAGCGCCAGGAAAGCGCCTCGGGATGGGTGCATTCAAGACTAATCGCAGGCCTTGGGCGCCACGGATACCACAAGCGTTTACTTAATCACTTCCTTTGTACAATTCCGCTTCAATAGGACTGTCGTCGTTTTAGTAGTTTCTTCGCTCTATCAATTGTAATGGGTTCACAAATGATTTACCGTTAGCGATACCCGCATAAGCCCCGGCAGATTCCACGCGACATCGACGCATTCCGAACAGTCGTGCGATTACAGCGGAGCACTGACAAGGTTTGCAGCACATGGATAGCGTTAGCATAGTGTTCCGAGCGTTTTAGTTTGCGTTGATCGCTCTGCATGCGCCGGGACCACCACCAGAGCATCGCAGTTTCATTTGAGCCGACGACCAGAATTTGAGAACCCAACCGGACGGGTTCGAGGTACGTACGCAGCTTGACGATTTTAAGCCTGTGATCTAGCCTCCGCCATCTCGACCCGCTTGATTATTCGCCAGGTAGCGTTGGCATGCCGCCCAGAAAACTTTGAGGTTTCGTCCGAGTGCTGCTGCTGTTGAAGTACAGCTCCCCCCCCCCCCCCCCCCCTGAGAGGACGGCGCCACTGGGGTTCAGCACAACCTCCAAATGTAGCAGCATGCGTGCAGCTTGCATGCAAAGAATGTCCCACGGCTTCCTGTGCCCAATGTCACCATAAACGTAATTCACCTTACATGTGAAGGGTGTGAAATATAGAGTTGTCGATGCCAATGTGATAGGTGCACATGTTATGAATAATGTTGAGGACGTACCACTTGGTAATTGCGCTGGTCGCTGATAAGCCAAGTGCACTCTTAAGTCTCAAACTTGCTTCCTCGAAGTGCAGTGGATTCTATGAGTTTGTCCACGTCATCCCTTTAATTTTGCTTTGTAATTCAATCCCATCGTATGAATGAAAGCTTCGCTCGACGACGCCTGCCTTTGACACCAGCATTCTCAGCCTGGAGCCGCTAACGCACAGGGATTTTCACCAGTGGCGCCGGCCGCCGCAGCAGGCCGCGCCATCTGCAGGCCCGGTGTTACATGTGTGCTTCGGCCGCTCGAGATCCTGGAGCTACAGCTACGGGACGCGGTTTCCACGCCCCCCCCCCCCCCCCGTCGTGGGTGTGGGAAGCTTCAACAGCCTGTGAGCCCCTCAGACTTCCTGCCTGGTGGCTGGGGGCGGCCGCACATAGTTCCTGCGAGCGACGGGAAGCTGGCGGTGCCCGCGGCCCTCTGGCACACCCCGGTGGACAGACGCTGCTCGCTCCTTCGGTGGCGAGACGCCGGTCAGCGTGTCCGTGACTGTATGACGACTCGGAGCTCGCGTCGGCTGGGGAAGAGCGCTACGAGACCAGCCCGGTCTGTGAGGACGCCAGAGCGACGGCAGCTTGGCACCAGCGACACCGCAGCAGCGTTGTGAACCTCTTCACCCGGGGAAGACGCGACTTCCCATGCAGTGCTCTCGTGCCAGACGAACGGGCGCTGGGAAGTCTGTCGGTCATGGCGAACCAGAGGTCTATCGATCATACCAGCAACGCCGCAGTAGCAGTGCAAAAGTTTCCCCACCCGAGGGAGACGTGGGTTTCCGTGTCGTGCTCACTTACTAAACAAACAGGGGCTCTGGCGCTGGGTGAAAGACCGCGACATCCGTACAACGGAAGATCTGACCTCAGGTGGAGATGACACCATCGTCAGCGTTGCTGAATCTGGAATCGAGCTCAGGGCTCATGCCGAGCGCAGAGGCGGGCGATCTTCGCCGCGTAGCTGGTCACAAGAACACGCGGAGGAGAACGCATCTCACCGGCCCTTGAATCACTTGGATAGCAACAGGTGGAAGACGCGCCCGTCGGCGGGACTTTCTGTTTTCCTTGTTTCTGGAGCCCCAAATGCACCTAACTGCCGAGCAGCCACCGGCTGGTATGGGCTGCCAGGTATTCGTGCGACGTGCAGAAACCATGCATTGGCCGCTGTGGGTCTCAGACCGGTCTGTTGTTCAAGCCAGAATTAATGAGATTGTGCTATAAAATAGACGCTTAGACAAACCAGCGGCAAGTCATATGCAATCAAAACATTTGCGTTCTTTTAATATGTCGGTTTAGGTCGATATATCAGTAAACACATCTTGGCTTCACCGATTCCATTGTCTGAGGTCGCACGGTCGGGCCAGCCCGGCGTTGGCGAATTTCCGAGTCATATACTCGTTTTTAGTTAGCGCTTAAATGCTTCATTGATTAACCTCATGAATGATGCACTACGCTGCCAATTATTTACGCTGATAGTTGATAATGTGCTGATTTATGCCACTACGAGCTCGCCCCGAGTCAAATGAGGCACGTTTTTAGTTTGATGGGTACAATCGGGGGAGTAGGAACGGGGTTCCGTGGGTGCCATGGTGTTAAAGGGTGTCCATGGTAAGGAGGTAAGGAAGCCCCTTTGCTAGCTCGGGAGGCCCCGTTATAAACGAGGAGGCTCTCTTCTAGATTAGGAGGCACTCTCTACATTCAGAAAGCACCATTTCTGGAACTTGAAGCCCCTTTTATACATCAGGCAGTCACGGTTCCGAACGAGAACACCCTGTTTTGCGAAAACGAGACCCCTTGGCTAGATTTGAAGCCCCCCTTCGTTGATCGGAATCGTTTCGTTCCGGGTTAGGAGGTTCGCTTGTGCATCAGGAGACCTTGTTTTAGGCTACCGAGACGCTTTGCTGGGCAATTAGACATTGGCATTAGACATTGACATTAGACATTGACATTAGACATTGTGTTTTTGAAATGAACGTTGAATTACTTGGATATGATGCATGCAACAGTTTGACAAAGAGCATCTATCGTCGGTGCCCCTCCCCCTTAACGCGACGCTACCAAGGAGGCCACCCGTGAGGTGGTCCCTATTTTCCCAGGAGACAGCCTTACAAAGCCTACTCCCTAATTAAAAATACGTGACGCCCTCCCCCTCTAAGAGTGGCGATCATAATATGGGGACTCGGGAACAATATTTATAATCAAACTAGGGGATTGCAGGTGTGGGCGTTCGTTAGAAATGGCACCGGCCTGTCAACTACCTGTACAAATCGCTCGCCCAAGTTTAGCATCGATTTCCTTACCGTCGACGCACCCACAACGTACATCTCAGTGCTGGCGGACCGGCTGGAGCGGTAATTGGCATGGCTACGGCGTCCAATTTAAAATGCTTTTACTTGTGCAAGAAAGGCGCAGCCTTGCCATAACGATGTTATCGTTGGCACGCTATCGACCGGTCACACAAAACTTGCATGGGTAGGCCTGCCATTGCCCGACCTAGCATTAACATTACGAGCGGGTGAGGTGGAGTTGCGATGATATTCGGGTCATCAGTGGCCAATGGTTAAGTCAACGTCCCACAGACGTGACGATCATGCTTGTGATCGCAAGCTTGGTTTGATTTTATTAAGTGTCATTGATTGGTGCCTGCTTGGAAAATAAGTCCGGGAAGCTCCTAGTTTTGCGTGTCTGTGATGCATACGCTGCTCGTGTGTGGATATTAACGAGTACGCTATATACCAGTTTGATGGTTGGAACGCTGCGTAACAACCCGCCTTCATATACGATGGACAAGAGCCAATTATGTTTCGAACAGAATGAGGCACGTATATCAGCGAAAAGGAAATAGTCCACGAATTCTATACTGATGACAAATCTGTCAAACAGCCAAGAAATTACGTGTGGATTTCGAAATATCTGTTAATGATGCCTCCTTTTCAAACCGTCATGACTGGCGAACGCTATTGTTTTAACTCCACTTTATCCCGCTATCCTCCGGTCGACCGGCCTTCTCTGTTGGGTCGTGCCTGCCCTTCCTCCAGCTCGTCTCAATTGTTCCATCAAACTATAACCGTATGACAGTTTTTCAACTATAATATATAGAACAATGACAAGATTAAGGCTTTTATCGTCATTCGTTTACCTGTATTCCGCTACTGGTCAAGTTGCTTTTAGTTACTTGATGTGGTAAATAAGTTTGCAAACGTCTCGACATCGGCAAAATACCTGAAGGAAAAGCACAGCTTCTTCTCCCATAAACTTAGGGCTTCAGATGTGAAATATCCATTGACTTCCGAGATGTTTGTGAGTGTTTAAGAGCACTTCGCACTACTACGCGCGCTAGGCAAACACAGTCATGCTGTGAGGTTTTTATGCGCTAGATGCCGCTCCCGCTGAGATACAGGCGCCGCACGGCTGGAAGTCGTACAAAAACAGACTATTTGAAGCTCATCGTCCGCTGGCTGCTCGTGGTGGACGCCAAAAGCAAGTCGAACAGCTATTTGTTTACGCTGACTTCTAGCTGTTCGTGACGATACGAGGAACAGTCTGCTCAAACATTCGGCGTTCGCCTCTCAACAGCATTTTATTTACGAAGATGTTGGCCTATGTGTTGCGCGCATGCATAGCTTGGTATACACTCGCATAACAACACTGACATGTACAAAAGTGGCGAAGCAAATCCCCTCCTCAAAGTCATCACGTTAGGCGTTTCCACGCAGCCACTTGGCCCGACCAACACGCATCAGACAGGACACGGGACAACGCCGACGGCAGGCCGACCACCCAGACAACGAGCCATCGGCACCGTGACGCAGCACGCGCCACGGGCCGCGTGGGGCGGCTCGGGTGGGGCGTGGTCCCTGCGGAGTCGCGGCCGGTCCGCGGCCGGGCCCGGGAAAGCCGGCAGCTGCCGCGGAGCTCAGCCCTCGCAGCGCGAGCAGCGGCAGTCGGCGGGCTCCCGCAGCTTCACAGTCAGCTGGCCGCGGTCACCCGAGATGCGCTGGCCGTCCGGGTTGTAGCAGTGCGAGAGCGTGATCTGGCGCACCCGCAGGCCCGTCTCCTTGCAGCAGCTGCACTCCTGCCGACAGCGCCAGACGGGGGTACGCAACAGGGATGAGGCGCGCTGGCAGGGATGAGACCTGCGACTCCGAATATGTTACGCATTGGGCATGCTTGCTACTTCAAGGAGCTTCCCGGGTGAATTTTGCTTTGCAAGGTATACGACGCCGTCATTAACGTAATAACCATGTTACTAGTGCCACTGGTGACTAATATTTGCACTCGAGGCAAAACCATGCCCCACTCCAAAGCTTAATCGTATCCAATTGCTACACGCGCCAGTGCTTCACATACACGCTTGTACTAAGAATGAGCGTACAAAGTACGTTAGGCAATGCGAAACAAATTTTGTGTCTTGCTCACGGTGTCTCGTGAACTGTGTCTTGTTCACAATCAGTAGCGATAAATTAGTTTTCTTGCGAAAGCTGAGTTGCATTCTGGTGTCCGGTGCATTTTATTTACGACATTCAAGAAACAAATTAAGATCGCATGTGGCCATACATGCGTAGCATGTCAATATCAGAGAGTGTTAAACGTGTTTATCGCTATAGCTGTATACAGATAAACAAAATATGATCTATGGCAATCCGTATTCAAACAATGATGAACGGACCTCGCGACCTGTGAGACACGGTTAGCAAAAACGCGTTCTCCATTAGTGCATGACTGCACTAGTTTCTGGAACGTGACCTGGCAACTCTGGGCGATGCAATTCTTAAACAGAGACCACGGAGCACTGCTAGTCGTTTCCGCCCAATGACACGGCCCAGTTTACAGCACACAAACAGCGCGTGGTGCGAGCTCGGTGCCGGCCGCGGCGCGTGACGGACGTACCTTATTGAATCCGGACGGCGAGATGACGGAGGGCTGCACCTGGGAGCTGCAGGTGCCCTCGCACTTGTTCACCGGTATGTCGCCCTCGCAGGTGCGCTCCAGCTGGCCGGAGGAGCTGAACTCGTCTGGGGAGACCGGGGAGCGGTTACCTCTCCAGCTCCAGCTGGCCGGAGGAGCTGAACTCGTCTGGGGAGACCGGGGAGCGGTTACCTTTCCAGCTCCAGCTGGCCGGAGGAGCTAAACTCGTCTGGGGAGACCGGGGAGCGGTTACCTTTCCAGCTCCAGCTGGCCGGAGGAGCTGAACTCGTCTGGGGAGACCGGGGAGCGGTTACCTTTCCAGCTCCAGCTGGCCGGAGGAGCTGAACTCGTCTGGGGAGACCGGCGAAGCGGTTACCTTTCCAGCTCCAGCTGGCCAGAGGAGCTGAACTCGTCTGGGGAGACCGGGGAGCGGTTACCTTTCCAGCTCCAGGTGTCCAGAGGAGCAGAACTCGTCCGTGAGGAGAATCGGCAGGTATTTGCTCCAAAAAGCCGAAAGTCTCCTACATCAACAGGAGACGGAATGCTTCTAGAGATGATTGAACCAAGTTAATATGTGTCCAGCAGCAAGGATGGGCTACATTCATCCAAGGGATGCAATTTTCGCTGCCGTTATATAGGCGTACCACCGCAAATGTAGTGAAATGGAGGAAACAGCTTGTCAATGCTGCCAGCAAGTGCTGGCTGTGGATGTGCCGCTGGCAAATGCGTTATATACCATGCGAGAAGATGTGACAAGCTAATAACAGGCATGCCGAGTGTTTACATTACAACATGTGTAATCATGTAGCTCTGTTGTTACCGGACGTCCGTTCTACCGGTTCCATGGCGTAACTGTCTACACCTGCCGGCGAAGCTGAGTCAATAGTCCACCCTTCTCGCAGCGTCCAGGTCCCCTCTCTTCCCAGGCACCCTCCGTGTCCACACTCACCCTTGGTGATGTGGATCGTGGACGGGATGGTCTCGCACTGAACGCGGCCGGCGCGGCCGGGCCGCGGCGCCGCCAGCACCAGCACCAGCGCCAGCGCTGCCAGCGACGAGCGGGCGGTGGAGCGAGCCATGACGCGGCTGGCGAGCGACTGAGCGTTCCGGCCGGCCGGCCCGGCTAGGTGCGATCGGCCGCCCGCCGGGGCGCCGGCCGCCCACCGGCCGCTAATGCAGCGGCGCGGCGACGGCGGCGGGGCGCCCGGCCGACCCCCGGCCGCCCGACACGCCGGCCTCATCGCCGTCCAGCTGCGGACGGCCGGCGCCGGCTGCCGGGCGGCTAGCGACAACGCCGGCCGTCAGCCGCCGGTGTCGGGTCATGCCGGGTCGTCCACCGCCAGGGGACGGTCCACAGATGACTGTCCACCGCCAGGGGACGGTTCAGGTACTGTCCACCGCCGAGGAGATGGTTCACCAGGTGACTGTCCACCGCCAGGGGACGGTCTACAGGTGACTGTCCACCGCCAGGGGACGGTTCACAGGTGACTGTCCACCGCCAGGGGACGGTTCACAGGTGACTGTCCACCGCCAGGGGACGGTTCACAGGTGACTGTCCACCGCCAGGGGACGGTTCACAGGTGACTGTCCACCGCCAGGGGACGGTTCACAGGTGACTGTCCACCGCCAGGGGACGGTTCACAGGTGACTGTCCACCGCCAGGGGACGGTTCACAGGTGACTGTCCTCCGCCAGGGGACGGTTCACGGTGCTGTCCACCCCAGGGGACGGTTCACAGGTGGCTGTCCACCGCCAGGGGACGGTTCACAGGTGACTGTCCACCGCCAGGGGACGGTTCACAGGTGACTGTCCACCGCCAGGGGACGGTTCACAGGTGGCTGTCCACCGCCAGGGGACGGTTCACAGGTGACTGTCCACCGCCAGGGGACGGTTCACAGGACTGTCCACCGCCAGGGGACGGTTCACAGGTGACTGTCCACCGCCAGGGGACGGTTCACAGGTGACTGTCCTCCGCCAGGGGACGGTTCACAGGTGGCTGTCCTCCGCCAGGGGACGGTTCACAGGTGACTGTCCTCCGCCAGGGGACGGTTCACAGGTGGCTGTCCTCCGCCAGGGGACGGTCCACAGTGGCTGTCCACCGCCAGGGCGGCGGTTCACAGGTGGCTGTCCACCGCCAGGGGACGGTCCACAGGTGACTGTCCTCCGCCAGGGGACGGTTCACAGATGACTGTCCTCCGCCAGGGGACGGTTCACAGGTGACTGTCCACCGCCAGGGGACGGTTCACAGGTGCCTGTCCACCGCCAGGGGACGGTTCACAGGTGACTGTCCACCGCCAGGGGACGGTCCACAGGTGACTGTCCTCCGCCAGGGGACGGTTCACGGGTGCCTGTCCTCCGCCAGGGGACGGTCCACAGGTGACTGTCCTCCGCCAGGGGACGGTTCACAGGTGGCTGTCCTCCGCCAGGGGACGGTTCACAGGTGACTGTCCTCCGCCAGGGGCACGGTTCACAGGTGGCTGTCCTCCGCCAGGGGCACGGTCTACAGATGACTGTCCTCCGCCAGGGGCACGGTCTACAGATGGCTGTCCTCCGCCAGGGCACGGTCTACAGATGACCACAGGTAACTGTCAACCACCGGAGGACGGTCCACACTCCACAGTATCATGTCGATATCGGTTCTCACCCGCCTTTCCAACGTCAGGTGTCAGCCCGCACCAGACCGCCCGCCGTAAGATTTTCGCCTACCCGGCTACGCACTGCCGGGCACCGGTCCGTGCCTTTGCTTTGAATTCTTAGGAAAAGGTTTGGCGTACCCCACCACAACACGTCAGTCATTGATCCACCCGATCGTCCGCCGCAAAGAAGTGCCAAACACCCGACCGTCCACGGGCAAGTATCCGTCCACATTGGGTCGTCCACTGTAATGTGGAGGTCCACGCGATTGCCCGTGGGGACAGTTTGCCGAGGCCAAACGGAACAGTCGCCAAAATAAATACCCCGCTTGTGGCAGGATCTCGTGATGCTCAGGCCATATTTCACATCAGTGTGCCTTTAACGTTGTGCGGCTCTACAGCTTTCTGTCACAGGGTTTTGTCCTCGGTGAAAATGGCATGGCGTTGGCTTTGCATGGTACGTCAAACTTTTGGCCAGCATCGACTATCGAACTCGGATTGCTCTACTTAAATGACGGGGTGTGGTGTGAGGGGAGCGGATGTAATGACGCATGCGAGCTGAGCCGATGAGAATACCTACTTTTCGAACTTCTTGAAATGCTTTCACGTGAGCAGGTGCGCGAGAGCCTACGCTGATAGCTTTGTCGAAAAGTATGTATTTTTTCGCAGTGGGGTTCTCGTGTACAGCATCCTCAACCTTACGAAGCCGTATGAAGTTGGAGGTCATGTGGTGGTAATTTTAACGGGAGCCAAAAGCACGAGTTCAGTTTCCCTTGTGCTGACTTTCAAACCGTGTAGTGAAATCAGGCGTCTAACCATCTTATTGACTGCTTCATCGTAGCAATGGGCTGACGAAAACGGCCCTGTTCCAGAGAGCAAAACCTACCGTCAGCGTACTGTACCACGTGCGCCTCAGGGGGCTGAAGGGAAAGATCATTGGCAAAGATATAGAACAGGAGAGTGTTAAGTAACGAACGTCTGAATATCTAATGGGACTGCTCGGAGATGTGGACAGGTGCTGGTTGCTGCGCCCGTCAGCGGTACAAGTCAACTGAGCGTGGCCACGAAGCAGAACCGAGAGCACCAGATCGGGTCAGTTGCGTAAGTTTCCGCTTGGTAAAGAACTTTGCTTGGTTCATCACGTCGAAGCACCTGGACAGATCAATGGGAAAGAGAACGGCGTGGTCCTGACGGTCGACGCTGCAGAGGAGGTGGTCAAATACGGTAAGAAGCGCGGCTCCTGCGGAAAGATACGGGCGGAGACCGTGCTGAAAGATGAGAAAGTGTGGTTTTTAGTCCTATATGAGTAAAACTGCCGCCGACCCGGTTCCTTTCTTCAAGCGTGAGAAAGGCAAGAACGATGGAATAGGACCAAGAGCTGATCACTTCGAAGGGCTACGGTGGATCATGTGTGGAGCAAGATAGGGAATGTTTCCATGGTTCAAGATACCCAGGTTTTGGGACAGGTGCTAATAATGTGAAGGATGATAGCAGGGATGATGTTAAAGCATAGCTCAATGATCTGGATGCAAATAGTTTCAAAACAACACGCTCAAAATTATTTTTGTACAGAAAAGGGTAGACTGGAGTTACAGGAGAGAGGCAGTTTTGATGGAAAACGGAGAGACAACTACCCAAGCAGCATACACGAAGGCTCAAGAGGCACAAATAGCTAGAACATCACCTACGACTTACGGAGTCACCCGTACCAAGTTCTCGTTTAGCTTGTCAGTTCAGCGTACGATTTTTGCTCTCATTGACGGATGCTGAGAGAATGAGAATGATCTGAACATGAGAATGGTTTAAACATGATCATTTTTTTATCTCATTCCCATTCTCATACGACGGGTGCTTCAAAAGATCATGGTGGAACATTGCTCATCGTGTCCCCCCCCCCCGCCCTGATAACATCCTACCTAACGTCATATCGCTCTTCGTGTAGGAATGCATTCTGTACCTTTTCCTCATTGGAGGATAAGTGGGATTGCCTCTTCTGCACAGAAGGAGGGGCATGCTTTTATGAGCACACAGGTGTCTGTCTACCGCCGCTACCTTATTCGGACGGGGGCAGCTCTAAGGGAGCATTCGCAGCACACCAATAACGTCCTGGTCTACCTGACGTCACGTAAGATCTTTGCCTGATGTGACTGTAGTGCATCAACTTTTCTGTTAACATCTTGGTGACTTTGTGATAATATAACTGCCCATGTGAGACACTCGCATTTACGTTCACATGTACTGCGCATGCATCTAACAATGAGGACTGCATTTTGCTGTTTGTAATGCATATCACGCCTTTCCCTCACTCGTCGCCGGCCCCAGCCGCACAAATTTACTTGCTTATAAATGAACCTGTTGCGCTTTTTCAGTCACGCTTCGATAAAGTAACCGAAGAAGATTCTGCGCTTCCGAAATAATTTACGTGTCGTCACGTAGAATCTTCGGCGTCCGGTCTTCTGCGGACAAATTAAGGCGCAGAATCCATGGGGTGTGACGTTGGCTGGCTGGCTGACGTCACGGTATGGATTCTTTGTCATCAGGCACAACTGACTGCTGCTGTCTAAGCGCCCTTAAAGGGAATGTTCCACCTTCATATGGGGTTTGAGCTGAAGTAGCCATCTTGAGGACCTTTTGATGCAGTTCACGGCCAAGGCCTTTTTAAGACCCGAACCCTCTGGTTCGTGAGTTACACGCCCGCAAAACTACAAACAGGTTTATTGGGAGGCTACTTCAAAGTCACATTTGCATTGATGCCGTCATAGAAACGTCATACAATTGCCGTTATATTGCAGGCTGTTGTCTGCTTATGGTCCAAGCAGCGTGGCCGCTGATACATTCGCAAGGGCAATGATGCGCACGTATGATGCAATCTGCGGAAGGTGATTGGCTGTTAGTAAGATTTCGCTGCTGAATGTGTGTCGCGAACGTAAGCGTGAGCACTTTCGGATTGTGTGACAAGCGTCGCCAATGGGCATTTTTCCTGATTTCTAGACCATAGGTTAATATTATAAAAAGAGAACGCCACTGCTGCAAAAAAGTAAAGCAACGAAAAAAACAGCACTCTCCCGAATGTTTTGAAAAAGAACATGCGACAGCAAATCTGCCTTGCTTCCCCCGCTGGCGTTTTTTCCTCTGCTAGAGTGTTTCTTACAGACAGCTCGGTCGGCGCCTTGTGTACCGGAGCAAAGAACCTTGCATGGGTTTATGGGCTAGCAAAGCCTTATAAAACTAGGGAAATATTACGGCAATTTTAAATTTCTATTTTACTTACACATATTGCAAAGCAAATTTAAATCTTAACGAAGAAATGATGTCCGCCAAGTACAACCTTTTGAACTGTATTACCATGAACCCCTGGGACTTCGTTTTGAAGTGAGCTCACGGTGAAATGCGGTGTTATAACCAAAATCCTGTGCGGAAATTGCGAGAAAACCCGCAATTTGATAGTCCCGCGGGTGATGCAGGAGTGGGATTACACCTATTTCACATTGAAGTGTGATTAGAGTGTGAATCAGGCGCTTGAAATGGGTGTGATCACTGGTGGTAAGTGCCATCGGCTTGTATTAATCTTGATATGATGGTGGGTGTGCGTGCGAGGTTTGTTCTTCTGAGAGAGAGCATTGTTTTGGTATTCATTAAATCTAATGACGCCAAAAAAATGTGCTAGATTGATACCTGCCTCTATCTTTAGATTTGCGTTTAAACATGACAAAGTAGTGATGTGGGCAAACCGAAAGAAACACTAGCACCCATGCTGCAGGAGTGTTCAAAGGCAAGTTGCTGCTTCATTATGATCTTGCCAACATTTCGAGCCTATTGAGATATTGCAGCATGTAATAAATCCATTCCATGCCATCGCATTAACAATTTATTTTGGCCCTACGGGCGGGTCCGTGCAGCTCATTAATGCACATGTTTGGTGTAAGCTTGCATGATACAGCCCTGCAATATTATTTCCCTTAAGAATTCTGACAAATAGTACTGCATTATTATAGATGACATACCACTGTCTTAACAAATTTTGTGTGCAGGCAAGCATTGCTTGTGCGTCATCATTGTCGGTCACTGCAACCTGCGTGAGATGCTCAGTGCTGGGAAAGGTGGAAAAGTATTGATATTGGTTTCTTGGATAGCACTTAACAATATTTTTATCATGAACCTAGTGTGCACTGGCAGCACCATCCCTTCCTTGCATTCTGCCCATCTAACCATGACTACATGCACTTGTCATGTTTCCAGTCTTGTGCAAGGTCAGCAGGGTTGTAGTTCCATTGTAATATTTTCTTGTTATACATGTGCTACTTCTTGTGTGAACCACATTTTTTAGTGGAGCAGCCTGATGTCTGCATGTTCCATGGATGTGGAAGCAGAATACATGTTTGCATCTCATGTCATCTATATTTTGTGGATTCCTAAAACAGGCTAGGAGTAAGTGATTCCACTTATTGTGTGCTTTGCTGAAAGTGATTTGTGCATGGTATCACGTGTTTTGGTCACTCATGTATTAGATGCGGAGTCAATACAAGAATGCATGTTTAACCCATCTTTTCATGATGAAATTTATTATGTAAGCAGCAGGGATTGCAGTACAAAACTATACCATTGTTCATTATGCCATGCCACAGTACAGCACTGAAATAGTGCCACGATGACCCTGTTGACCCGTGCCATTACACAATGTAGCACATTGGATGACTACTCTATGTCAAGCCTATGAGATGACAACTTATAATTTATGACTGGTAATGACTGATTTCACAACGCCAAAGGACGATCACCTGCGAGAATGCTGTTGCTCCACAATGGTTATATCAGGGTTAACTAGTAATTGCATCAATAATCCCAACACAAGAAAAATATTCTTGGTAGCTCAACATTACCATCTCCACCGCAGAAATAGCAATGCTTTGGCAATCAGTTCAGAGTAACGTTACAGATTTATTAATTTTTGTATGCAACTGCATTTCCAGTTACAAATAATCAAGACAAAAACCGTTGTGCACATCACATGATATCAATGTCAGGACTGCAGCCTTGCAGGCAACGATAAGTCAACAATAAATATTGGCCTTTTCAACAGTCCTTGGCAGGTTTCGGCAAAAGATTCATGACGCTATATGACAGTCTTCTCAGCATGTCGTGCTTTGATATTAGTAATCTGCCCCAAAAGCTGGCGATCGCTACGCTGCACATGCCAAACAGCCCACTAAAGCTTCTCTTACGACCAGACAAAAAATCCACAGACAAGCCATTCACAGCTAATCCGCCACGCAACGCAGCACCCGCGACGAGAATGGCCGATTGGCGTCAGCTTTCGTGCGTGTCGAGGTATTCTTTAGGTCTGGCTACCAGATGCTGCCAGGTATTGCTGTCGTCACAAAACCATTCCATGACGCCATCAAACAATGGCGTAATGGAGGGTATTTTTACAAACTTTGAAATTTTACCACCTAGGGTTGTTTTTGAACCTTGAAAGCTTACTAATAGTTACAAGTAAGATTTTCCCTCATGCCTGATACTTATCTCGATATCTTAAAATGTGGAACATTTCCTTTAACATGCGCTTGGGGGTCAAATTGACCCCCCTTAAAGTATTTTCCGGAATGATTACCGAACGGCGCGGAGTAGCCGCGCCAAATTTTGCAAACCTGTAGACAATTGAATAGAGAATCGTTTGACATAACAAATTTGGATGTACCTTGTGAGGTCGCTAACCCATGGCAGGTC